AGGGTAGCCATATTCAAAAAAGATAGAATCTGTACAGGTTCAATTTATTTTGTTTGCTCTGAGAGGTTTAGGATGGAATTCAATTGAACTTACCCCACCTTATGAGACCCGGCTTAAATTGATCGATCTTCCTACAATAGAGAAAAGGAGATTAATGCTTAGATGTATTTTTATCATCAAACTTTTGCGTTGGCGAATTGATTCTGAGTTTTTAACTGGTGAAATTAAATTCAACGCCCCCTCGAGAAATACACGCAATTACATACCACTTAAAGTTACATTAGCAAAATCGAACTATGAATTAAATAATCCTCTCCGGAGTTTATGTGCTGATTATAATATATTATATATCACGATTTCTTTGTGTGAACCATTGCATGTCATAAAAAAGTCAATCCTGCGTTCTTAGTTGTAAAATAGTTACCAGACTTAGTTTCTGTGATTTAGTATTTGCATTGATTAGTTTTACTGTAGTTTAGCTTAGATACTTTAATTCTTTTTAATTGTTAAACCGGCTGATGCTCTGCTGTAGCCGGTTTCCCAAGTCTACAAACCCCCTATAGTCCGGACTATGGGGTGTACGTTCTCCCTACGTTATGGGAGGTGGCCCTCTCGGTCGGCAGGGGAGAAAGTGAGGCGTTGGTAACGATCGAAAAAAAATTATTTAAATTTGTAAAACTTGTTAAAAAATACGAATTATAATAACCTCCAACTGACGTCGTATAGAAAACATTTAATAATCTACTTATATTTGAAAGAACATTAATATTTTTTTACATATCAATGTTCCCAAGTGCTGATGCATCTACCTGTATTCTTCTACCATGGTAAATCGATGTATACTGTAATCTCTGAGATTTGTCTAAAATGTTGCTGTCTTCTTAAAGTTGCGAATTCGGCTTGGCTGTTTGTGGAGATTGAAAGTAACACAGGGGACAATCTGAAAATGGAATGGATAATCTCTTAAGCCAATAAGCAAAAATAAAAAAAAGAATCCCAACTCGAAATGTAATTAGGGACAATGTTTTAATTGAGTTTCAGTTAAAAATCAGGGGAATGGAATGAAAGGAAAACAAGAGAAATAGAGATAATAAGGTGTTATATATGTGATTTCTATGGATTTATTTTTTGCGGTAATTTCAAACAAAAATTATAGATATGGTTGAAAATATTGTCGCATAGAGTAATGCGTTGGGGATTTTAATGAAAATTCTAAAAGGGAGTAAGTTGAATTCAGGTTTATATTCGAAATAAACACAACACTTCACAAAATTATATCATACACTTTATAGCGATGTTATTTGCTACGATACTCAGAGTTGGATATACCGTCGACATGTTAGCATAAGAAAATAATTACAATTACATTGAACATGTTACATATTATAAGTTTACCAAATAACAAACGAATTAATTATAAAACCGATACAGACCATTGTGCTCACATTTACAGAAGACTAGTTCATAACCACCGACGAGAGAAAACTTAGTTTGATAGTGACATTTAAACTGAATAGACGAGCTTTTACTGTAAAAATGTATGTTGTTTATTGTGTTATATATTGTTAAAATCAGTTTGTAATTTGTGTTTTTTGTAAAACTGATCCCTGAAGAGGAGGAAATCGAAATATTGGATGAATAAAAAAGGAAAAATTCAAAAATAAAAAAACATAGTTTTTTTTAATGACCTTAAGCCAAGCAACCATGGTAGAAGAATATAGGTAGACGCTTCGACACAGCTGCAGGGACAATGAACTGTCAAACCAATTTTGGAATCGAAATTTTTGAATGAAAAATTACTCAAATTTGTAAAAATTATTAAAAAATGCATATTATAACAATCTCCGATTGGTGGTGTGTGGTACAACATAGACAAATGTGCTTATTTTTGCAGAAATATTTAAAAATTTTTGACATATCAATGTTCCCAAGGGTTGATGCATCTACCTGTATTTTTCTAGCATGCAAGCAACTAACCAAATAAGTAAAAGGAAGAAACAATAATATATTGAGGTAATAACAACATAACAGCATGTGCCTTTAACTAATTTAAAACAAAACATAAAAAATAAATTATGCGCAGTAAGTTCTAATACCACAACTGATTGATTTAAGAATGCTTAAATCTACACTTTTATAATATTTAAAAATTTTTAATATATAAAATTGCACTTTTTAAAAATATTTTACATACAACAACCGTACCTATGTAATTCAAATACAAACGCTTTTCATCTTATGCAATTTCAAGTGACATAAAATTTGCTACGAGAGGAACAACATTACGAAGGTTTTGAGAATAAAAACTACAAAATATTACAATTTGCATATATATAATATATCGTCGACTGCTTTCACATTACACTGGCTTGCATATGTGAAATGAGTTGATGTGGAGAAAACATTAAGAATAAAGTCTACAGAGAAGATAAATAGCCTCTTTACTTTATTTCTCCATTCTACTAATGCTCACTCAGCTGTTGTCGATACTGTCAATTAACCGCCACTTCTATTCTCTTCTGTTTGCATCGTTGCCATCTACGATAATTTTGCATTGCCAATCACACTGTTTTCCATTGATGTTGATAACATCCATTCATTGATGATAATAATTCATTAACACTCAATCAAATTTAATTCATAAATATATATTTATTTTTCAATCTATTTTTCATTATCTGCTACATAATGCTGTTTATTTTATTTATTATTTACAAAAATATCAAAATCTGGTTATTATATTCATATGTCTCCTTAATTAACAAACCATCACAAATCAATCTTCTTCAGGTACACGTTGACTATAAGACTGCTGTAATTGGTGGATGAAAATATGTTTACTTCCAACGAGGAACTTTTTAACATGATTCGAATTATTGTTAAACAAAAGGTATATATAATAGCTAAAGTCTCAACAATAAACTTGATGAATTTCGCCACATTTTTGTTTCGTCAATGTATAATATACATATCCTATTAATATCTCATCATCAACTCATTGACACTACACTACAAACTGTCTTAAAGACTTTCAAACAAATTAACAAGAATTCAAATCTACAATCAAATAAAGCAGTGACATCGACAGAGAGAAATGATGCATATAAAAGGTGGAAACGGTTCAAAACGCCATAACTAAATGGACAATTTAATTCCTTACGACAAGTATATTCAGAAAGCTAAGAATGTAAACTACAAAGATAAATTATCTATTGCTGTTGATAGAAAAAGTAAACGGAGCCAAATTAGTGAGATTGGAATTGATATTGATGTTTTAAATAAAAAAAATTATCAGTCATAGGCCCGTTCTTTTAACTTTCCTTTGTGGCAATGGCATCTTCGTTTTAGTTTAAAAAATAATAAACAAAATGCGAATTTGTAAATAATTCCTTGAATTAAATTTATAATCAGTTGTTGCAAAAATCGTCAGGCTTAATCCCATTATTGTTGTTTTTATTTATTTGTTTATTAGTGGAGAACGATGGTAATATTTACCAGGAGGTAAGGCAGGGAATACCTAGGTTTCGGAAAGAGTCACCAATCCTCATCAGTTCCCTTGTTTTTTGTCTGGGATATTCTCCCCAGAAGTTAGTTTAAAAATAACTTCTATGACAAAAAAAAAAAAACTTTTTACCCAAGTGACGAGATCGTAAGCTCAATAGAAGAGGAACCAAAGAATTATATTAAACTAAAATTCTTTTGGAAAATCTTCTAAATCTTACAACCGCACTTATAAAAATTTACATCTTTCTCCACTTGTAATGCTTTCGTTTTACCTCAACGAAAAAAAACATAACCATGTAAGTTGGGTTTGTCTGTTACAAAAAAAACCCTTTCGTCGACGGTGCCTTGTATATAATTAGAACAGTGTTGGCATGTTTGTTTGGGATACCGTACTATTTTGTGTTGTACCAGAAATCACTTCAATACAATAGGAAATTGCCAAGAATAACACAGAAAAGCTAAGTTTTCTTTTTACAAAGAAGGGCAAATAGAAATCAATTGAGTGTAATTTTCGGAGCCTATTTATAACTTTGGGGTACAATCAATATACAATCAATATGCAAAGAAAAATCAAGCTTAGCATCAAAGACAACACCTAAACAATTTATACGGTCAACAAAATCCACTGATACACTATTAACCTGTATATTAATACTGCTACCCAGTAAACAATTTTTGCCGAATTCTGTCCGATTTCTGTCAGAATCTCTGAAAAAATGTCCGATTCTGATTCCTTCCGATTTCGGTACGAAAGTTGTATGTACGTGGTAACCGAATTCGGAAAGATTTTCTGAAAAAATATTAGATTTTCTGGACGAATTCGGTCCGGATTCGGTGAAAATTCTTGGAAAAAAAATCGGAGGACAACTCCGAATTTCTGAATGAAATCAGCCAGAATTCGGCGGAAAAAATCGGAGGAAAAAAAAATCGGAGGACAACTCCGAATTTCTGAATGAAATCAGGCAGAATTCGGCGGAATATTCAGATTTTCTAAAAGAAATCGGTCAAAATTCGGAAAAAAATTCAGATTTTCTGAAAAAAAAAAAAACGCTCGGAATTCGGGAGAGAGTTCCGATTTTCTGAAAGAAATCGTTCCGAATTCGGAAGAAAAATCGGAAAAAAATCGTCACACCACTTAAAAATTAAAAAAAAAAACACATGTTTATTTAAAAAACAAACAATTTATTTCAGTTTTCGTAAAAATGTAGTTTAAATATTACATCTATAATACATTTACATTATAAATATTATTTTTATTAAGAGAATAACATACAGTATTTTTATGCACAAAAGAGTTGAACAGATAATTCTATTATTTGTTGTTATTATATACATACATATAATTTTTGTAATTCACGGTATCTTTTTAAAACAAAAATAAAATTAATTCAGTCTTTCAATAATTTGTGTCGTGTACAGTGACCCAAAAATTTTTTCGTACACCCCTAGTATTTTTATAGCATTTTATTTTCAAATATTAGAAGTCTAAAATTAATTTTTTGAGTCCCTGTATAATAAAAACAGATTTTTCCGATTCAGATTTGTCCGATTGAGATTTTTTCGATTCTGCTTTTCTTTTTCGTTAGTTTTGGCGGTCTTTAGCCGAATTAAAGAAATTCTTAATGTGAAATTCTATCGTACTTGCAGCAGTGTCCGGGATATGATATTGCTGCATCTATATAAAAATTAAAGTACATACATATGCACATGTAATCTAACTTATGCATAATCTTAAATATCGAATACAAACCTCTTATAAGCTTGATGTAATGCATATATTTTACGGGTATATTTCTGTTGCCACTATTCCATTAACAACGTGTGATAATTTCGTCCGTCTGGAAAACTAGTTTTAGTTTTTCTTGAATAAATTTCCTTATATCGTCATGAGGTTGAGCTTTTATATGTTGAGTCTGTAGATAAATATTGATTTGAGTACATACCTATTGGAGAAATGTGGGTTAGAAACTTACCAGTTTGTTTTTCAGTTCGCAATTATCCTTCAGTCTTCTTTCGAAGTCTAATACTTCTTCAGGTGAGCATAGTTATTCAACGGAAAATACTGATCCTTTCATTTGTACTGCTTTCATGGTGTTTTCTACAGTCATTTTGGACTGAAAGAACTCAGTTGTGAAGTGGGTGTATATTTTGGCATTTTCCTCGGCTTGTCTAACGTTTTGTGTCTTTAGAGTTTCTACTTCTTGTTCAAGTTTATTTGTGCTTTGTTCTAATAAAGCTTTAATCGCATTGTTTTGTTCAACTAGGTTCTTGTTTTGAGCCAGTATTGTGGATAATAGCTCCGAGTGTTTTTCATTATTGGGTTCCATTTTATAATGGTTAGTACAGGCATGTTAATGTTATTGGTCTTCTCCTTAAGGATAATGCTCTGCTCAACAAGTCTGTTTGAAAGTTGAGAGAGAATATTTTTTCCACTTTTAACTTTCTTTTTAAGTTGGTAAAGATAGTTTTCATATTTAAATGCGCTGAAATTATCAAGTTTTCCATAGTTTGAAACGTCTTTAGCTAAATGTAGCAATGAATGACGTTGTATGTTAGAAAAATTTTGCCATAAATTTGTTCTAATTCTACAACGAATTCCATTAATAAGTTTTCTGCATAATTATTGAATTCGTTACAAATACTACTGTCGGACAGTATTGTAATTGCTATGTGTAACTTTAGGAAATTTTTATAGGCACAATCGTTTAAAATATTTTTTAATACGACAATGCTTCACTACCCCGAGGCACACAACGTGCATATAATCAAGAGGGAATTGTGAGACGCAACCAACACCAATAGACTCTAATACTAAATTTCCTAATTTAGTATGGTGTTCTGGTTGTGTTCTATTTCTGAAGTACTCATCAGTACGAAGAACTGCAGAGGCTTCTGGTGGAAATATCATTCTTCTCTCGAAATAGTCCCCTTTTTGCATGCATTTTGAGCAGCAATAATAACCTGAATGGGACTTAATATTGAGCACAAAAGCACGGGCTGGAGCATCGCAGATGAAATTACCTATTTGAATATTAAACCTTTGGTTTCGGAACAAAAATCCCTCTTGTTGATATTTACAAATGTCTTCTACTATGTACTTCAAAAAAATATTTTGGTCGTTGGGTTTGTTGTATTTATCTAATCTATTATTTACAGCAACGTAATTATAAACCCCAACGAGGAATAACGGTTCATAATTTTGAATGCTGACCATTACCGGGCAAAGACATTTTTTAGAGCTCTTAAAAAGAGGGAGACCGTCTATACCAAAATTTAGTACAATATTTCTGGAGTCATCAACCTCGCCGCTTTGTTGAAAAAAGAAATCGGTTAAGCAATTTTGTAAATCATAATGCATGTATGTCCCGCTACCCATTTCCATTATATCCGTATTTTTGGGCGTTTCATGTTGAGTGCGAACGTCTAAGGGCAAAGTGTAGTCAACAGAGTTTAATTTTCGAAGAAGCTCATTCATAGCATTTACCGATATTGCATGCCTTATAGACCAATCAGATAAAAATGTTCTCAAACTAACGTCACTTTCAATTTCTATTGAATGGTCTGAGTCAAAATCACTTTCTCTTAAATTGTCTGAATCGATATCATTTTCTATTGAATGGTCTGAATTGAGATCATCAATAATTTCTTTGCAACATGCATTTCCAATTGAAGGATTTGGATCATTACTATTAATTTCGTCAATTTCTTCCGGAGATGACATGATATGGTCCCCTATACTATTTTCTTTTTGGAAGTCGCTACCAGGAATACTTGCTTTGGCACCTAATGGTTCGTTATGAGGTTCACTTAATAATTTGCAAAGTAATTCTTGAGCCTGTTTTTGCATTTCTTTCTTTACCTGTAATAAATAATTTTATTTTAAACACCTTCTGGAAATTTTTAATTCACTTTTTGAACACTTCTTGTAAACACTTTAATTCAATTATACCGAAGCACGTTTCTGTTTCAACTGCTAAACAAGAACTACAAATAAAAGAGAATGCACACAGAAAACCGGTATGCAGTTGTTTTTGCAATTTTTTTTCATCATATATTTTTGGAACGAAAGAGAAAAAGGCTGATTCACAACAACAAAAAACGCACATTTTTTACAACGGAATCTAATGGTTCACAAAAACAAAAAAAAAATAGCATTTTTGCTTTGCGCTTTGTTATTGTTGAGATCTTGAAATGAATGATCACAACAACAACTACTTTGGGAGAGAATGTGTCAAAGCACCACCATCCGTTTTCATGTGGGAAGAATATGTCAGAGCAATAGACAGTCTACTCTACGTTTGTACATTTTTCGAGTTTTTTTTTTTTTTTTTGCTTAAAAACACAGGAAAATATGCAGAAATTCTAAAAAATAAACGTTTCGAAAATCGGACCAATTTCTACCAGGAATTTCTGATTACGATCACCCGTCCCAGGAATTTTTTTTCCCACGGACAAAAAACTGACTACGGGGATGTACCCCTAAAAGGAAAAGTTACGGTGCAGGGCCTAAATGAGTGTTTGTGATCCAGCCACGAGTCACACCCTGTCGTCATCCAACGATCGTGAGCAAAACTCTCCCGTAGATGTGGGTGCTTTGGCATCTGCGGTCGAAGGTACTGCTACAACAAGATAGACGGAGAGGCTGAGGAACTCAGGGGAGGCGTACGCTCGACCCAACCTTCAACGACAGGTAACGCCTCAGACTCTGAGTCCGACAACAGCAGCAACAATACTACCGTTCCGCGAATCCCAAGTGAGGAGGAGGCGCACAGAACGATAGAAGAAGTGAGCGACAGCCTAGCGAAGCTCACAACTAAGGCTAAAAGGCTATCTGGCGAAAGCTCAAGAGGCAACGGAACAGCAAAAACGCAAAGTCGTAGGACGCTCCCAAGGGAACCAAAAATACTCCCCCACTCCGCTGCAGACAGGGAAGAGGATCAGGTCCCCTGAGGAACAGAATACTGCGAAGCCGGCGAAAAAGAGCTTCCCACCTACGGATGCGTCGGGTAAATCAAGGCAAGGAACCCACAAGGGAGACTGTGAAAGGAATCCTTTGTCCGAGGGTGACAAGGCCAGCCCCAGCACTGTAAAGGTGAGCCCGATCGTGAAATCGGCTGCCAAGCCTGGGGTTTCGGAAAAGAAATCCCTCGCTCATCAGAAATCGGGCCGGGGAAACGGATACGAAGCCGCCATCGTATGCAAAAGTCGCCAGGAAACACAATAGGGACGAAATGGAGATCCAATCCCTATCATGAGCAGTAGAATTAAGAACAATAAAATGTTCTTTAATCTCGCTGTTCCTGCTAACACCGCCGCCTTAGAGGGGATTATCGAGAAGATAAAACCCCCTTGGGAAAACGGCAGCCTTAAGTTGGTGAGGTGGAGCAAGATTCCTCGCCTAACTAAAACGACGGTGTACGTCAGGGGATACGGCAGCAGACTCGGGACGGAACGAATGCTCGAGATCTTTGGTAACCAAAATAAGACTTTGGACGTGAAGAGATGGGAAGTCTTTCACAGGGAGGAGAAGGAGGATGGCACTCTCGTTGTGATCGGGATTGACGATCTCTCCATGGCTAGTCTGACAAAGAACAAGGGCATAGCTTTCTTCGTCTCGAACGCGGTCCGTTTCAAGAATAACGAGGTCAGCATCGGAGACGAAGGACCCAAGGGAGACAGCGAGGAGGAGAAAGAAAACCCCCCTAGCAACACAACACAGGGACCCGACGATAAAATCACCGACTCTCAGGAAGCCCGCCTACTGGAGGACCAATGATTGAGGTCATCTAGATCAATCTTCATCGGAGCGAGACGGCAACAATAGCTCTGATGAAATTAACAAATACAGGTAAGATACACATTGGTTTAATTCAGGAACCCTGGAAAGTTCAGAACAAGGTCTCTGGACTAAACCATATTAACTATCAACTGTTTTATGCTAACACAAGGTCTCGACCGAGAACTTATATAATATGTCACAAAAGTTTATGATAGTACTAACACTAACAAAAGGTCCCTACTAAATTATCTAAATACTAATGACAATTCTTAACATTGGAAATAAAGCGACCTTTGTAAACAAGATTAGGGAGGAGGTTTTAGACATCACTTTTTGTTCAGGGAATCTTATAAACGAGATTCAGAATTGGAGAGTCTCGGAAGAGCACTCTTTCTCGGATCACAGGTATATAAGATTTGAACTAACACGGCCGTCGCCGAACCCAATACGTTTCCGGAACAAATCCTGACTGGATGAAGTATGGGAGACTAGTTAGACAAAGGCTAGGGCAGAGTAACAATGAATGCCTAGGCATAGATGACATAGACAAGATGTTAATAGTTTAACGGAGACCCTAGTAAAGTCTTTCGAGGAATGCTGTCCACTTCGAGAGAGGAAATCCGCCTACGAAAAACCCTGGATGACAGGGGATATTCGTAACAAAGGAAAGGAGGTCCGTAGGCTTTACACCAGAGCTCGACGTAAAAAACTGGCAGTATTCTGGGACAGCTATCATAATAAACTTGAAGAATACAACAAAATAGTCAGAACAGCTAAATTAAATTCCTGGAATCTTTTCTGTGAACAGGTTGAAAGCGTGAATGATGTTAAAGAAATAAAAAAGTTTCTTTCAAAAACCCATACACAAGCCGAGACAATGGTGGATGATATGGGTAAAAAGATGGAAACAGTAGAAGAAACCCTAGGGCTACTGATGAAAACACACTTCCCAGCGAGAGTCACGACAAACGTGGATACATCGGAAGATAGAAGGAATGTGACGGACAAAGCACCAAAAATTGACGAATCGATGGTAAAAGAAGCCATCAAAAGTTTCAAACCGTTTAAGGCAGCGGGACCAGATATAAGCCTGAAGTTTGCGTACACTCCAAAAGCCTGGCAGGAATCCAGGGTAGTTTTTTTACCCAAACCTGAGAAGGCAAGCTACGTAATACCCAAGTCTTATCGGCCTATAAGTCTAACATCGTTCTTACTCAAAACCATGGAACGCATAATCGATACCATGATCAAGAGCAGGACTGCAAACGATATGCTTAAATATAAACAACACGCATACGTTAAAGGGCGTTTAGTGGAAAACGCTCTACATGAGGTTGTACACCACATCGAGAGCAACTTTGATAAAAAGATGTACACATTAGCAGTATGCATTGACATTGAAGGCGCTTTCAACAACGTCAGAACAGATACACTAATCCAATCCTTAGATAGCTTTCAGGTCAACAGGACCCTAAGGGACTGGATAAGCCATATGCTAAGGAATAGATGGATACCATAACAGTCTCCTAAGGACTTTAACCAACGAAGGTTTTGAACCAGTCTGCTATGCAGACGATGTTATAATACTTCTGAGGGAAAAGAGCCCTAACTTACTGTGCAGAAGGGCCGAGTCGGCTCTGAAACTTGCATACAACAGGGCTATACCGAGAGGTCTCAACGTCAACCCGGAAAAAACTGAGATATGTCTATTTACCAGGAAAAGGAAACTGGGTCTTTTCGAGGAACCGGTTTTCCTGAACAGGACAATCAATATTTCCAATAAGGTTAAATATCTGGGTGTGATTCTAGATAGAAAATGTAATTGGAGGGACCACATCCAGGAAAGAGCAAACAAAGCTCATAGATGTTGGGCAACGTGTAAAAGAGCTATAGGCTCTAAATGGGGCTTCAATCCCAAACATGATACACTGGCTATTCAAAAGCGTGATTAGACCTGTTCTAACTTACGCTTCAATAGTCTGGTGGACAGCCATGGATAGAAAGTGTAATAGAAACAGTGGATAAGCAAAGGCCACGCTACATACCATCAAATAATCTTACAGGTAACAACGGGAGAATCAATAGAAAACGGGATATCTGAATCTATTGTAGGTGCCTCTTGTGAAACATTAATCCCTAACAGAGACTCCTGGATCGATGGTTTCCCATCACAGATGCCGACTGGTAACTGTTGTTACACAGATGGTTCAGTGTTGGGGGAGAGAGTAGGACTGGGTCTTTTTATCGAAGAAACGAATACCGAAATCTCTTTCCGCCTGCCCGATCACAATACGACCCTACAAGCGGAGGTCCGGGCGATTACAGTGTCTGAACTGGTTAAATGCTAACACGAGACCGGCTATCGTAAACGTCCTAACGGACAGTAAGATAGCCATTACCACTATAACATCCAAAACAGTAACTTCAAGAACTGTATTGGAATGTATAAACTCAATCAACAACTACTCTCAACACGGCTTAGTTCGCATTATATGGGTACCAGGTCATAACGGAGTTAGAGGTAACGAGATAGCAAACTCCTTCGCTAGAACAGGCAGGGAATTAGCAACAGTAAACTTAGACAATCCACTGCCGCTAAAAGCGTCACGTCTAATGTTAAAGACATGGGCAAAATATGGAAAAAGAGGGCGTAGGGAAAACCACAAAAGTCCTGTGGGGTGAACCAAATGAGATAAAAACGAAGAATATTCTATTGCTAGGCAAGAAGGAGATCAGTGAGGTGACAGGCATCCTTACGGGGCACCTTGGCCTACAAGCTTATCTATACAAGATACGTTGCATATATAATAGCATATGCAGGGCGTGCAGGGAAGATGACGAAACATTGGAACATTTTCTCTGTATATGCCCAGCGTTTGCTAATATCAGAGCCCAATTCTTAGGGAGCGACACTATACCAGACCTTAGTTGGATCATGGTAAATGATATAAAACAGTTAAAGAATTTCATAAAGGCAGCAGAATTTCAATTATAACAGACTGTTAACTGCACGTCTTCCTTGGTAAAAGCCCTCTGACTAGAGCGCACAACAGGCTTATACTGGCTTAAGTTTATGCCCAACAGGGCTTGCGGCGAAATTGGTTCGCCCCTCTTTTTCAACCTAACATAACCTAACCCTTGGAATAACCTTTCACAAATATTTGAAATATTTCAAAAAAGATTTAAAAAAATACTATTGTCGCAATCAATCATAAAATTGTCCATTAATCTTAAAAGTAATATGAATATGTTTTAAATAATTTTTTTATTACAATTTATACTACACCACTAAAGTAACACCACTGTATTTAGAAATCATTAGTTATACCACTCTGTGTGTGCTCTTAAACCTTGGGAAGTGTAGCGCAATATATGACAATAGTGTGTTTCAATAATTGCTCAAATGCAAAGAAAATGTAACTAAATATATCATAATTGATTGTATTTCTTCATCCTTCTTTGAAGAAAAATTTGCAATCAAATACTTACTTCTCCATTGTACAAATCGGATGCATACAAGTGGTCGAATGGTAAAGCCGCTAGCAAGTCAACAACAAACCACCCTTTCAAATAATTAATAGCTATTAATTTCGAATCCAAAACTACTTCTCCTTTACTGGATACATATGTTGTGCGAAAATTCAGCAAAATATCTGTAAAGTGAATATGAAATTTATCACAAAGTTCAATAAATACAAATTAACCATTTACAATTAGATATTCAATGTATTCAAACATTTGACGTAAATTAGAGTGGATTATCTATTCTTTTAGTGTTTTCTAGAAACATATTTCGGTTCATTTAACTACCCCTGCTGTTAAATGTGTGCTAACACATAAGCCCACAAGATAAATTATTCAAAAAAAAAAAAAAAAAAAAAAAAAAATATTCGAGATTTCTTATTGTTTTCCGGCTATTCTATTATCTCCGGTTAAATTTTTGTAGACCAAAAAAGCTTTAGGCTTGAATAAACAAAATCATCAAGGTATAAATATTGCCGTATCTACAAAAAAAAAAAAAAAAACAAGTAAAAAAAAACATTAATTTCGGCCGGGCCAAACTTTTAATACCCTCCACTTAGGGTAAAAGAAACATTAAAAGAAATGTGGCAAAAACCATTAAAATGCCGAATATCGGGAGGTACCGTCATATGGTACCAAAACGTGGACCTATAATTACAATGTTTCGCCACACGGACTAGGACCCATTATGACCCACAAATACCAATTTTTAGACAAATCAGTGAAAACATGTGGCAAAAACCATCAAAATACCGAATATCGGGAGGTACTGTTATATGGGGGCTATACTAAATCGTGGACCCATACACGCAATGTTTCGCCACCGGAGCTTTAAACCATTATGACCAACAAATACCAATTTTTAGACAAATCCGTGAAAAAAATTTGCAAAAATCATCAAATTACCGAATATCGGGAGGTACCGTTATATGGGGGCTATACCAAATCATGGACCCATACATGCAATGTTTCGCCACCGGAGCTGGAAACCATTATGACCCACAAATACCAATTTTTAGGCAAATCCGTGAAAAAATGTGGCAAAAAAACTAAAATACCGAATATCGGGAGGTACCTTTATATGGGGGCTATACCACAACATGGACCTATACATGCAATGTTTTGCCACACGCTCAGGGAACCGTTATGACCTACAAATACCAATTTCCAGACAAATCCGTGAAAAATGTGAAAAAATGTGGCATAAATTATCAAAATACCGAATATCATGAGGTATCGTTATATGGGGACTATACCAGAACGTGGACCGATATATCTCATTTTCAATTCCAACTATCCTAGACACAATGCAAATAGCTCTACTAAATTTTGGCGCTCTACGTCAAATAATGTGGGCTGTATCGTGATTTCAGCAGACAGACGTTAAATCGATTTAGAATTTTATGCTGATTATGAATATATATGCTTTATGGGGTCTAAGACGAATATATAAGGATGTTACAAACGGAATGACAAAGTTAATATACCCTCCTTTCCAAGGTGGAGGGTATAAAAATCAGTCCTAATTCAATGCTAGTTCTTTACTATTCAATTGAAATAGATAATATAAAAGTCTCCAATTTAATGGTCTGATGCAGTCATTGTTACCTTCCTCGCTGGAAGAGAAATTTATTTGTGGTCCATTTGTTTTTAGAGTGATTTCAAATACACATGAACTGACGGACACACATAGCTAGAGCGATTCAGCTTAAAGAGTTGCAAAGATCGTTGGGTCTGGGACCGATATTTCAAGGGGTTGCAATAAACGCATAAGGCCCAACTCATAGTGTTGTATGCTTCAACACTTATTTTTTCATTATTCATAAACGCTATAAGGAAGTGTACTAATGAACAAGCTCTTAATTCTAAATTAAGGTCTAATAATAATCAATAATTGTCCTATGCCTAACTCATACAACGTCCATTTGATCATTTATTTCGGTCTTTAGAACAATTATTGTTTACAGACTATGATCTGGTGTATACAACAATAGTCTCATGGCTATTCAATATACGAAAAAGTTCTAAGTAATGGATTGTGGCTAGTGTTGACTACACTATGGAGTGAGACATTGAATAGATCAACATTATCAATGCGCCGAAATTGCGCTGCGTTAATAGGGGGTGAAATAAATAGAAGTAAAACACGATCTTTTCGTTTCTTATTCAAATAAATATATGAATTCTTTATTGATATTATTATCAAAAGGTATCGAGATTTGCCCGCACGAACGTGTAGTGTTTAGAATGTTGAGCAAAAACTCTCAACCCATAGCAAGAAGGAATCACCAAAACAGACTAAAGTAAGGAGGTAGCTTTAGAGCCTATTCGCTTAAATCTGAAATTGAAATATCAATATGGCAATAAGAAGTAGTGAACAAATTTCAACGAATGTACAGTATGTGGTGGTATAAGTGGTGTAACAAACTGCATCACGATTCCATTCCAAGTAAACGAAGACAATTCTTACTTAAAAATTAGCCGGCCACCTTACAGCATCCGGAGATGGTAGAACAATATAAATTAATTTGATAAATAGTACAAAGTGGTGGTACATTGCAGATCTGTGAGCAGTTTTAAAAGTAAACAATAAATAATTCAAAGTCACCAAGAATCCACAGTTATGGATTCGGACTTGTGCAAAGTGTTTTACGTTCAAAACAAAGCCCAAAGTAATGGGTTATTTTCACGACACAACAACGGATGTCGTTACGGATTTGTATGTGAAATCCGCAGTGACGGTTTGCTCCGAAAAGCGAGTATATTTGTGGCACTTCACAATACGAAATTTTTATATCGGAAAAAGTTTTGTGTATTTATTACAACGAAATCCTGTACGTATATTCAAGCGAGCGAATTTGCCTATACGGATGTGGTCCAGTTACAATCCAACCAAATATGGTATTTTGAGCAAGCAGAGAACCGGACGAAAAGCGAAGGCTGTGATCTTTAATAATTCTAGGGAACAAGTCTGCTCCTAACAAAATATCAACTGGACTTGACTTAAACAATTTGTAACCTGATAATATGACATTCGATATTTGATCCTTTATGTCTGAAGTGACCCCAAGCGAAGGCAAATTTCTTGAAATTGAATTCAGCACGACCGCTGAAACTTTCAGGGGTAACGATTTCTCTATTCTACTTTTAATTTCTATATTATAAACTTTGTTCCACCTACCAGCAGTTGAACCAATAAAACCCGAAACGGTAGTATTGAAGGAACAAACAGGAAGCTTTAATTGTTTTTGTAGTCGCTCTGTGACGAACGAGGACTTAGAGACCGGATCTATCAACGCCCTAGCAGAATTCGAACGAGTTTGATGAACAACTTTCACCAAGGCGATACCCAAAAAAACAGCTGGTTCTTCGCAGCCTGAAATGCCTGTCGAACTACATCTCCCGTCGTTGTGGAGGAACGAGATGCATATGAATCAGTGCTTGGGGAATAATTCGAGGGACAAAAAGGTGGAGCCGAAACTGACAAAGCGAACTTGAAGTTGTTGCCATTAGACGTGGACTATTTGTTAAGCCATCTCTATGTAGGAATGTGTGATGACTTTTATTACAGGTCTAATACCGACGAAAACTTGCGCAAGCAATTGATACACAAAAGATGACGCTTCACCGACGAAAAAAGATTTTCACCGACGAAGAAAGATTTTCACGGACAAAACAAGCAACAGGAACAACATGACTGCCGAGGAGATAACAAATAATGGCGAGATTGATCAACCAGTTTCGGTGATGGTTCGAGTGAGAGTTCGAATTCGCTTCCTCAGAAAACTATCCAAGTCCTCACAAATGACAGTGGACGCGTAAACGAAGGTTATTATATGGACGTGTTATCATATTCGTCCTGTAAGGCATTCCACTCTGGGCTGAAACTGCGGTTGGTCAGGGTGAATCTCGAGACGATTTCTAACAAATGCGCTCAAACGCGAATTATTTATATAGATCGATAGAATAAATAAATCTCTAAGCATGTTTGGAAATTACCATCGCAAAGGTCTATGTCACATGGAGGCATAACTAGGTTGTGAACACTATCTGTTTGAGGCGGATCAACAACTATCTCAACTACACTAGGATTCCCAATAGCCGATATTAGTTTGAAGAACAACTTCACGAGAAGTATGAGTGGAAGAGTTCCAGTTTATTAAAGCTACATCACAAGACTCTGCTTCTAGAGGAATATCACGTGGATGTTGCGATAACGACGCTAAAGAACTGCTACGAGCCTCACATAGCCTATTTTTTAAACTACTTTAGCAAACCATATATTTTCCCAAGTTTCCTCATCAAACGGAATCAAAATCCGCTTTGCATCCGACGTTTCCAAGTAACTTTTACATACTTTAAAACTCTCATCAGTTGCTTTCCATACTTGCTCAAGATTAGAGCTGCGGGACTCTATTTCGAAGAAATCAATATGTTCACGTTTTAGTTTTCTATAGGATCTTCACTTTACAAATAAAAACAAGTGGATTTTGCGACATGATTCTAAGCCAAAAGAAAGAATGAGACTCCACAAAAATATCATTCTACCGAAAAGAATAAAGAACCGACCAATTTTTCTAAAAAAGTTTACAAAAAAGCCAAGGAAAATTTAAATCAAGTGAAAATACTCCAAACTATTTGCCAAAATGTATCGGAATATCACACAACTCGAAATTTTTCTACAAAAAAACTAATAATATCGACCAAGGTATTTAGTTTTAGAATATGAATTGATTGAATTGATTCTTATATTCCTTGTTAGGTATTGTTTTATTTATCTCATACGAACTTGAGATCACACACAAATGTACCAAAACAAAAAGTGGTAATATTCATGCAAAATAGTATGCGCCAAAATCACTGTTTTTTTTAAATATTTTCCTTTTGTACTTGCACTGTTCGTTGTTATTGCCCAAAACAATAGGACTTTGACCACAAACCAAAAAGGGAACTCCGCGACGCATTGTAAAGTTCCCGTTTTGTTATTGTAATATTTTTCTTTGTTACTTGTTTTTTCGCGGGCTAACAACAATATGAATCCACTACCCTAACTTTTGTTTATAAAGGAATATGATGATTTTAGCGAAAATGATGTTGATGATGGGGATAGAAATATCTTTTAGTTTCTTAT